CCCTACCGGCAAAAGTAATCTGGTTCCCATTAAGAATTGAAAATGCTGTAATTCTGTCAAAAATTATTGAAGCGGAACATAAAGCAAACTTGATCTGTAACTCATCTAGATACACTCATATACCAAAAATCAACTCAATATCTGCAAACGTTTTGGAAAAAAGTTGGAAAACTCTTAAAAATTAAAAAGGTTGTAATTCCCTCAAAAATCAATGAAGCGGAACGAAATTAAAAACTTGATCTGTAACTCATCAATACACGCTTACATACCAAAATCAGCTTAATATCTGCAAGCGTTTAGAAAAAAGTGCGGAAAACCAAGTGGGCAGAGTGACAGCTAGGCGGACAGACAGACAGACCGACGAATGGACAGCCTCAGAGGAAACCTATCGTCCCCTCCGGTTTCAATTTATTTTATTCTTGATCAAAGGGCAGATTTCTCTATTTGCATAAATGTACCACAAAATCAGAACTCTTTAGTGTGCAGTGTATAGAGGGCTCTTAAGCACATGAAAAATTTTTTTTCAACTTTTTCCTCATTTTCCCCTCCTGTTTATGTCATGTTTCATCATTGGGTTATTTTTTAATTCTTTTGAATGCCATTTAAACATTGAATTGTGAAGTGTAGATACATGTAGTATTACATGTACTGCAATAATTATTTTCAATAGGTCTTTCTTTGTTAACACGATAAAATGCACTATTCCATCCTAAAATGTTTTCAACTATGAAAACATTTTTACACCTTCTTCTGTGCCAACCCCAAAGTTGCGGGGTATTATTATCATAGTTTACAACAGATAATACGTCAAACGTATACGACAAATGTTTATTAAAATTAATTAAAATTAATAATAGTAATTGGCTATGAGTTGACATATCTTTGAGTTTTCCACCTGTACACTGATGATTATTCGTGTCTCGAACTTGATTCTAATTGATTTTCACGGTAAAAATTTAAGAGTCAAGGACACACTGAAAGATCAAAATTTGTGAGTGAAATAAAATTGTTTAAATATTGTACATGTTGTTTTTATGGTAGGATGGTCCAAATACAGTATACAATACGTACCTCTTAAACCCTGATGAGTTTACTGTGTGTAAATCTTGATTATAAGGCATAGGTACAGTCATAGATGTAGAATGATGTGTGTATATATGCATAGGTACAGTCATGGATGCTGTTTATAAGGCACAGGTAGTCATGGATGTAGAATAAAGTGTGTGCACTGGACAGGTACAGTTGTGGATGTTGTTTATAAGGCACAGGCACAGTCATGGATGTAAAGTAAGAGATGTATACTGCACAGGTACAGTCGTTGATGTTGTTTATAAGGCACAGGTACAGTCATGGATGTAGAATAAAGTGTGTGTACTGGACAGGTACAGTCGTGGATGTTGTTTAAAAGGCACAGGTACAGTCATGGATGTAGAGTAAGAGATGTATACTGCACAGGTACAGTCAGGGATGTTGTTTATAGGGCACAAGTACAGTCATGAATGTAGAATAATGTGTGTGTACTGGACAGGTACAGTCGTGGATGTTGCTTAAAAGGCACAAGTACAGTCATGGATGTAGAATAAAGTGTGTGTACTGGACAGGTAAAGTCGTGGATGTTGTCAATCAGGCACCGGTACAGTCATGGTGTAAGATTTCTAGAGTTGTCCGGACAGGTACAGTTTCGGATGTTGCATCCAAGGAAATTCCTTACGATTTTCTTTGAGCTGAACTCAATAGAGGTGCTATTAACGCTATTCACCGATATTCCCTATAGACTGATTCCAGACAATAGATTGTAGAATCTTAGAGAGGTGGATCTAATAAAAATATTTACTTATTAAAATATTTTCTTCGGATGTTATCGATAATTATAGCATTAATTTCCTTTAATACGATCAATTTTTTTAATACCGTACCCTGCGTATTTCAGGTATCACACACGGTTATCGACCAATCAAGATGTTCCATGCATATAAAATTAATTTTTATTTCTTTTGAGAATTTTTTTTTCGGAGGGGGGGGGGGTTTCTTCCTGCCTATTTTTACAACTTTGATACCTGTGCCTAGTAAATTTTATCGTAAGACATATATTTATGGGGGAAAACCTGTGTTTTTCATTGACACCACTTGCGTGATAAATGAAATGGGTGAAATTAATAATATTGTGACGTACTTATACTTTCTAACATAAAATTAAGGATTACAAATTAATTCCAATATATATTTTAATTTCCTTTTTTTATTTTACTTTGTTAATTATTTACTCGTATCTTTTCAATAATTATACTAGCATGTTTCATTTTTAATTCATCATCATTATTGAGCACGTAGGATATTGAAATCATGCCCCCCCCCCCAAAAAAAAAAAAAAAAAAAAAAAAATTAAAGACCTGGCTCAAATTTTTCTCTGAACATAAACCTTTAATTTTAAATCTGTAAAAGTTTTGGATCCTTCCCTAATCACTGCTGACATCGTTTGTCTCGGTATCACTGTCATGGGTAATATAAAGATTAACGTTAATTGCTCTTTGATTGAATTCAGTCTAAATCTAAATCGGAGGAAATCCACAGAATTTCGTGTCGTGGATGTTATTAATCAAGCACGGGTTGAATCAGTGGTAGGTTGTATGTACGGCACAGGTACAGTCGCAGATGTTGAATATCAGGCACAGGTATACAGTCATAGATATACAAAATGTACGCCGTAGTAAATGTTACTTTTTAGAGATTATAGCGATCCATGCAATGGATTTAGACATAGTCAAGTTAACATATATTTTCCTCGATATATTCACTAAGCCAGTTATCGGTACCTTTTGGCGATTACAGCCTTCCATAAAGTACATTTATTTGAAATCAGAAATCAGAGATTTTCTTTCCTCCATATTCGTATTTTTCATTAAAAAAACAATCCATACTTAACAACATATAGTTAAATACGTTGAACAATCCGGAAATTCTTGCTCTGACATTCCGTTTTTGATATTAGTGAGCAGGTACAGACATGGATGTCCGGTACCAGCATTGCCGAGTACAGTTGCGAATGTTAGCTGACAGACCCCACTCGTTTGTAATCTATTTCTTTAAAATGAGTACATTTGCACTGACAGTGATTACAGTGGTGCCGCGTCCAATATCACATTGTCCGTGACAGTCACTGGTCATGGTGCATGCTGTAATAAAAAGGATAAACGTTACTTTTTTTTCTAACCGTTAGATTGAGTAAAATTCTTAAATGAACACACAAACCATTTTTGTATTTTTTGCTTGTAATGAAATATATGGAGATAACGAACATATTCAATCTCAAATGTCCATTTAAACAATACAAATCAGAAGCAGAGCAAACACAGACCTCTAAAACATCAGATGTGGGATCAGGTGCCATGGAGGAATGAGCATCTCCTTCCGACCGATAACACGCGCCGTATGCTCCATGGCATAATCGGGAAATAACGGGAAAATTCGTAGACAATTCAGTGTGTATATAATGGCCTTACAATTAGTATGAAAAACGTTAGTCAGTATTTTACTTAATGATAGATTTGCTGACAAGGTCATTGTATTGACCACAAAACTTACGAAATGATGAGTTTAAACGAGATTGGTGATATTCTTGTTTCAACAACTTGTTTGTGATAACTTCTCTCGTTTTAGAAATTGTTCATACGTACAGCATGCTCTTGCGTATTCAATCAACTGAGAGATTTAAGCACCGTTGGCAGATGATAATGGTATATTGCTGCATAAGTAAGCGAAGTTGCCGATTGAAAAGTTAAAGTCATCACGTTTTTCATAAGCTTGGTTTTAGGTTATCATTAACGTTTTTTTTAAATTAAAATATCCAAATATGAAACAGATGTGTCAAACTCTGTGGTATCTTTTATTTCAAGTTCACTGGGATACATCGTGTCGACATATGAATGGAAATAACTATTATTAATTGGCAATACTTCATCGATTTATCTAAATGTCGAGTTGAAGGCCACAGGAAGTGTTTTCTTCTTCTTGTGTATAAGATTTTGAATAAAATCTGCTTCACATGAATACAAAAATAGGTCTGCTAATAAAGGGGTTCAAATAGTTTCCTTGGGAATTCCATCAGATTGTTGGAAGACCTGGTCTCCAAAAACCATATAGATATTGTCAATCAAAACTCAAACATCTTTTTAACATCAACTTCAGAGTACTTATGTGTACAGTCAGAATGTTTTTAAACAAAATAACTTTGCAAATGATCAAGGTAAGTAAATTAAGTAAATTTTACGAGTTCCATCTTTTATTGAAAAAGCAGCTGTCAATGATGTCAAAAAACTTTAATTTATTGGGGGGGGGGGGGGGAATGGTTGTATATAGAGTTGAAAGTCGTACGTTTTGAGGTTATTAATTTTAATAAAGTTTTGTGATTTCAAATTTGCATTAAGTTCCTTGGAATTTTTAAGAATCCACATCTGATTTACACCACTTCCTAAATATGGTGTTGCACACACTCCTGAATTGTTTCCTTCCTTTATGTTAATATTTTAGTGAGAAGTATAGAAAGAGGCTTAGTAGACCATTAAATGGAACCCGTTTTGTATCTACGTTTGTAAGGATAAAGGTTAAGAAAAAAGAATGTTGCCCCCAAATGACTAATGAGTAACTGACTGTCATCGTCACTTGCTGCTACGGTATTTGTGCACTGATTGATAAAATGGAGTGTCGACGCTCGCCACGTGTAGCGACTGTACAATCACCCGTGTTTTGATATCTTTCAACAGACTGGAAACAATAAAATTCAATCCAGAAAATCCATAACTGACGTTTTGATTTAATTATATTAAAATTAAGCCATTTGTGAGGTAAAATTTTCCACTATACGCTCATTACTAAAGGAACATCACTTAGTATAAGACTTTTCCAAATCAAATCGTTTTTAACATTCTAATATCATTTTAATTTCTACAGGAATGAATGAATACATATGACAAATTTAGATTGAAAAAAAACCTAAATGTCGGTAAATTTTGAAAATTTATTTCTTTAAAAATGAGTACATCTACACTGGCCATCAATACAGTGGTGCTCACGTCCGTGATCACATCGTCCGTGACAGTCACTGGCCATAGTACAAGCTGAAATAAAAATATTCAGATTACTTTTACTATTAGAAAGATTCGATGGTATATCGAAAGGTTTGAGCACATTATTTTTTGTAATTTTATCAACACTGCGTGTTTTGCAGATATCAAAAATGAATGCCCATTTTGATGCATTGAGATTAGATACCTCCATCACCAGTTGCTGCTGTGGTACATGTGCACTGATCTCTGATACAATGGAGGGTCGATCCCCCACCACATGTTGTGGCTGTACAGTCACCTGTGTCCCTACATCTCTCAGCGGAGACTGTAAAACATTAATGATGAATATAAAATCACCCTTACAATTGTACATCTGAAACATTTTCAGGTCTAATGTGTGTAACTTCGACCTGTGTATATCTGTAATTGTATTGTCATTAATAAATAAAGATTTGTTAAAGCTGTAAATATAAAAAAAAATCAGTATGCATAACAGTATCAAGGTTGATTATACAAATTGTAATAAAATATGTTGAAAAAGACATTATTAAGCAGAGATACTGGACCTTTGTGGGTCAATCATTTTTGCGTAAAATGTCAGACTGTAAAATCATCATTGTTCGTGAAGGACTAATGTTCGTGGATTCTTTTGGTTACAAGTACCCTTAAATACACATCCCAACATTCGAACCTTATCTGTTTACTAAATCTGTACAGGCTTCTTATGTACATATTATAATTATAGTGACACAAATATTAACCCTCAGGGATTTAATTCATTCCATAGTAAAGTAGTAAAAGAAGAGTTTTTATTTTCAGTTCAGTCCCTTTCATCTGAAGAATTTGATAATTTAAAGAAAGAGGTGAGAGATCTGAGTCATAAATAGAATCACAAACTAAGATTGTTTACACTATGTTTTTCTTCACATTATATACAGAGTTAATTCAAAGCTGTGTTGCAAATGCAATGTAACAGCAATTTAATCAGCACTATATCATTAGTATAATCGATTTATCACGTTACCACTGAATATGCTCATAAGCGTACTTTACCAAATTTGAAAAAGTTATTAGAAAAAAATGAATAATGTCAACAATAATAAGTATCAACACTCTCCCCCATCCAATCAAATCCGTTTATCCTTAGAAATTTATGTTTCTGAAAAACTTCTTTCAGATCATGAGATATAAAAAAGATAATTTACTAAAATTCGACAAATGATTGAAAAATGTGGTGTCTTTGTTCAGAATTGTCTAACCTTCTACAAAACTAATGAGTTTTTCAATGCAAAACACAATTTCTTGTTGTACAGTTAAATCGTATGATGTACAACTATTAGCTTCTGTTGACTTCTCTAATGGTTAAAACCGTTTATCACAGAAGATCTACATACCTGCTACGACAACAACAGCGAGAATGAAGATGGCCCTCATGATGATCTTTGATTCAGTGATTCCTGTGAAAGATGATATAATTCTTCATTTCGTTTCACTTATATACATACTTTGGGAATAATCACCTTGAAAAGGTCAGCAATTTAACACAGATTACAGTCATGTGGAGATAAAACAAGCATGAAATATAATTTCGTGTTGTCCAAATAGAAGAACAACTAGATGCGATCTCGTTGCGAGCAACGAGTGGGTCTTCCGTCCGATTTTTGATAAGATGAGATACGAATTTGACTGAGATTTTCGTTCATAAATATATAAATAGTGAAAATGTACAATTTGCTTTAGTTATGTTTAACAAAATTTTGATCATTATGGCACCTAAAAACGCAATGTTTGATGAAGATATTAAAATATTTATAGTAGCAGATCGTGAAGATGAACATTACTGTAAAAGGGTTATAGATAAAAGACTTTTGGCCCCTCTGAGCCCCTAATTTGAGGGGTCAGCCCCTCTTTCTTGATATCACATGAAAGGTCTTGTAATTCTGAAGACTTTTTGTTCAACAACTATTCAGAAGTTTTGTTTCGTTTTCGAGATATGTAGACTTGAAATATTTAGGGGCTGTCCCTTTAAGTCCTTATAGGGGCTGTTTAGGAAAAATTCAAAGGATGCACGTTGTTGGGAACATCATTCTAAACAAATTTTGTTCAATATTGCTTTTCAAAATATTTCCCCTTTTCGAGATATAAAGCATCAAAGATTAAGCATTCTGGCCCCTTGTGACCCCTAATTACGTAATATTTGATGAAAATTATTAGATATATAGTTGCAGATTGTGAAGATGAACATTTTTGCTTCAATAATTAATATCAAAATATTTAACGTTAAGGAGTTATAGATGAAAGACTTTTGGCCCCTCTGAGCCCCTATTTTGAGGTGTCAGCCCCTTTTTCTTGATATCACATGAAAGGTCTTGTAATTCTGAAGACTTTTTGTTCAACAACTATTCAGAAGTTTTGTTTCGTTTTCGAGATATGTAGACTTGAAATATTTAGGGGCTGTCCCTTTAAGTCCTTATAGGGGCTGTTTAGGAAAAATTCAAAGGATGCACATTGCTTAGAACATCATTCTAAACAACTTTTGTTCAATATTGCTTTTCAAAATGTTTCCCCTTTTCGAGATATAAAGCGTCAAAGATTAAGCATTCTGGCCCCTTGTGGCCCCTATTTATGTGACATATGACGTAAAAATCATAATATATAGTTGTAGTTTGTTAAGATAAATAATTTTGCTTCAGTAATGTATACAAAAATATTGTCTGTTTAAGAGTTATCGATCAAAGACCTTTGGCCCCTATTGGCCCCTAATGTGATGAGTCAGCGCTTTTTTCTTGATATCATATTACAGATCTTTATATTCTGCACAAATATTGTTCAATATGTTTTAACAAAATAATTATATTTTAAAAGATATGATAGAAAATGTCTCAAAAATTCACTCATGATTCGTATCCTAAATTTCGACCCCTACCGAGCTTCCATACTAGGCACTTCCGGAAAATATCTAAACCCAGGTGCAGTATGGCAACATGTCCTCTATCATCACTGAAAATTTCAGCGCTCTAGCTTAAGCCGTTTTTGAGTTCCATCGCAGACAAGGAGGTCCTCTGAAATTTGATAAAAGGGCGATAACTTCCGACCGGAAGTGAATTTTTAAAAATTGAAATAGCGGTACAAACTTCAGATAGCATCGCATAATCCCTGAAAATTTGAAGGAAATCGGTAGAGCCATCTCCGAGAAATCCTCTGCACAAAATCGGTAAGGAAAAAAAAAAAGAATAATAACTAGATGCGATCTCGTTGCGAGCAACGAGTGGGTCTTCCGTCCGATTTTTGATAAGATGAGATACGAATTTGACTGAGATTTTCGTTCATAAATATATAAATAGTGATAACGTACAATTTGCTTTAGTTATGTTTAACAAAATTTTGATCATTATGGCACCTAAAAACGCAATGCTTGATGAAGATTTTAAAATATTTATAGTAGCAGATCGTGAAGATGAACATTACTGTAAAAGGGTAATAGATAAAAGACTTTTGGCCCATCTGAGCCCCTAATTCGAGGGGTCAGCCCCTATTTCTTGATATCACATGAAAGGTCTTGTAATTCTGAAAACTTTTTGTTCAACAACTATTCAGAAGTTTTGTTTCGTTTTCGAGACATGTAGACTTGAAATATTTAGGGGCCGTCCCTCTAAGTCCTTATAGGGACTGTTTAGGAAAAATTCAAAGGATGCACATTGTTGAGAACATCATTCTAAACAACTTTTGTTCAATATTGCTTTTCAAAATATTTTCATTTTTCGAGATATAAAGCATCAAAGATTAAGCATTCTGGCCCCTTGTGGCCCCTTATTACGTAATATTTGATGAAAATTTTAAGATATATAGTTGCAGATTGTGAAGATGAACATTTTTGCTTCAATAATTGATATCAAAATATTTAACGTTAAGGAGTTAAAAATGAAAGACTTTTGGCCCCTCTGAGCCCCTAATTTGAGGGGTCAGTCCCTTTTTCTTGATATCACATGAAAGGTCTTGTAATTCTGAAGACTTTTTGTTCAACAACTATTCAGAAGTTTTGTTTCGTTTTCGAGACATGTAGACTTGGAATATTTAGGGGCCGTCCCTCTAAGTCCTTATAGGGACTGTTTAGGAAAAATTCAAAGGATGCACATTGTTGAGAACATCATTCTAAACAACTTTTGTTCAATATTGCTTTTCAAAATGTTTCCCCTTTTCGAGATATAAAGCGTCAAAGATTAAGCATTCTGGCCCCTTGTGGCCCCTAATTATCTGCCATACGACATAAAAATCATAATATTTAGTTGTAAATTGTTAAGATAAATATTTTTGCTTCAGTAATGTATACCAAAATATTGCTTGTTTAGGAGTTATCGATTTCAGACTTTTGGCCCCTATCGGCCCTTAATGTGATGAGTCAGCCCTTTTTTCTTGATATCATATTAAAGATCTTGTCATTCTGCACAAATATTGTTCAGTATGTCTTAACAAAATAATTACACTTTAAAAGATATGATAGAAAATGTCTCAAAAAATTCACTCATGATTCGTATCCTAAATTTCGACCCCTACCGAGCTTCCATACTAGGCACTTCCGGAAAATATCTAAACCCAGGTGCATAATGGCAACATGTCCTCTATCATCACTGAAAATTTCAGCGCTCTAGCTCAAGCCGTTTTTGAGTTCCATCGCAGACAAGGAGGTCCTCTGAATTTTGATAAAAGGGCGATAACTTTCGACCGGAAGTGAATTTTAAAAAACTGTTCAGCCGGAATTAACTTCAGTTAACCTAGCAACAATCCTGAAAATTTGAAGCAAATCCATCAATCCATCTCCGAAAAATCGTCTGCACAAAATTTGTGCAGAAAAAAAGAATAATAACTAGATGCGATCTCGTTGCGAGCAACGAGTGGGTCTTCCGTCCGATTTTTGATGAGATAAGAATTTGACTGAGATTTTCGTTCAAATATAATGATATAAATAAATTGTTAAGACGAACAATTTTGCTTTAATAATATTTAACAAAATATTGATCATTAAAGGGTTATAGATTAAAGACTTTCTGCCCTTCTTGGCCCCTAATGTGAGAGGTCAGCCCCTTCTATTTGATATCATTTTAAAGATCTCATGATTTTGAACACTTTTTGTTCAACAACTAGTCAGAAATTCTTTTTTGTTTTCAGGATTTATGCAAAAGAAATATTAAGGGCCGGCCCTTCAAGTCCTAAATGGAGACGTCTAGCAAAAATTGAAAGAGTCCATATTGTTCAGAATATTATTTTGAACGTTTTTTGTTCAATACTGTTTATCAAAATATTCTTCCTTTTCGAGATATATTGCGCCAAAGATTATGCAATCTGGCCCCCTAAAGACCCCTTATTGCGTAACATATGATATCAACATCATGTTATTTAGATAAAGTGTTTGAAGATGAACTATTTCGCTTCAGTAATATATTACAAAATATTGATCATTAAAGAGTTATTGATTGTATACCTTCGGCCCCTTATTTAAGGGGTCAGATCCTTTTCCTTGATATCACCTTCAAGCTCTCATGATTTTGAACACTTTTTGTTCAACAACTATTCAAAAATTCTTTTCAGTTTCCAAAATATATGCGAAGGATATATTTGGGGGCCGGCCCTTCAACTCCTTAATGGGGACTTTTAGCAAAAATCAAAAGGTTGCATATTGTTTAGAACATTATTCTGAACATCTTTTGTTCAATATTGTTTATCAAAATATTTCCCACTTTTGAAATATAAAGCGTCAAAGATTTAGCATTCTAGCCCCTTATGGCCCCTTATTATGGAACATATGATGTGAATATCATAATATATAGTTGTAAATTGTTGAGATAAACATTTTTGCTTCAGTAATGCATTACAAAATATTGTTCGTTAAAGAGTAATTGTTCAAAGACTTTCGGCCCCTCTCAGCCCCTATTTTGAGGGGCCAGCCCCTTTTTCTTCATATCGCTTTAAAGCTCTCATGATTTTGAACACTTTTTGTTCAACAACTACTCAGAAATTCTTTTTCGTTTCTGAGATATTTACAAAAGAAGTATTTAGGGACCGGCCCTTCAACTCCTTAATGGGGACTTTAGCAGAAAATGAAAGGATGCATCTTGTTTAAAACATTATTTTGGACATCTTTTGTTTAATATTGCTTATCAAAATATTTCCCACTTTCGAGATATCGAGTGCCAAAGATTTGGCATTCTGGCCCCGTATGGCCCCTAATTATGTAACATATGACATAAATATTATAATGTATAGTTGTAAATTGTTAAGATAAACATTTTTGCTTCAGTAATGTATACCAAAATATTGATCATTAAAGAGTTATTAATTTAATACTTTTGGCCCCTCTCGGCCCCTAATGTGATAAGTCAGCCCTTTTTTCTTGATATCGTATTAAAGATCTTGTCATTCTGCACAAATATTATTAAGTATGTTTTAACAAAATAATTATACTTTAAAAGATATGAT